GGGGAACTTTCGTTTATTTTTGTCTCTTCTTTGTGGGGACGGAGACTATCTGTGGAGAAATTTGAAACACACGGTGTTACATAAAAAAGACTCCACGCTCGAGAGGGATCGGAGACTTTGTCACAATAACCTGATGGCGTCCGTGGCCCTGGTCCTGGCCACGGCCCTGGTCACTCCGGTGTCCCCTTGCACAGGGCCCCCGGCTGCCGCAGCACCAGCTCGCAGGACTCGGGACCGGCTACGGCGCCACCTGCTCTCGCAAAAAGCCCGAGCAACATTTCAATATGTGTTTTTTTTTCCTACTTCTCATTTGCTTCATAGTTTGCTTAACGTGTTGTGTATCAAATGTCAATAGTTTTCATTATTTTAAGAAAGAAAAATCCGAATGTTTGTCATTATTTCACGAAGAGTAAATTTAAGTTCCACCCGCATCCCCGCCGCCCCTTTCCCCTTCCCGAAATGGTGTGTCTTAGTCGAGTCCGGCAAATGTGACTGTGTATCGACCTGGAGCCCGGTGCGCCGGGCCGTCGCCGTCCTCGCCCCAGCCCGCCCCCAGCAGTCCGGGCGCGTCAGCGGGCACCACAGCAGCGGAGCCGCAGGGTTTGGCCGCGTCGCCGCAGCTGGCGCGCAGGTCCTCCTCCAGCCCCAGCTCGCCGAGGAACGCATCGACGGCCACCTCGCTCGCCTCCACCGTGGGCGCGTGGGACATCCAGCTCAGGTCGTGCTGCAACAAGGTGTGAAAATGTTCAGGTGAGGTGGGCACCAATTCAGGTAGTGCTTTGGTAACATGTCCTTCTGTTGTAATAAGTCGCAGAAAATGCTGTCAGCTATCAGCAGCAACCGAGCCGTTCCGCGCGACAAACAAACATTTCGTTTATCTCACGACCCCGCGGGTGAGGCTGCGGCGGGCGCCAGCTGAGTCCCGATACAGACACACAAGAGGTCACCCGCGATACGGCGCGGCCATTCAATTCGCGCCTCTCGAGATGTCAAAACAAACCAGTGACGCAAAGGGGGAGCCGGCGCAGCGCGCTGGTTGGATGCTCTCTCACCTGGAGGCTGACGGGCTCGGCCGGCGCCGTGGGGAAGTGGTCGTAGTCCAGGAAGTTGATGACGTCCTGGTAGTTGATCTGGCCCTCCTCCTGCTGCGGCATGCTGCGCGAGGGGAAGGGAGCAAGCGGTTACCGACACGCCAACATAGGCGATCATCCATAAAGTACGTCCGCCCTTTTGCCCTTCCGAGACTTCCCAGTTTAGTCAACACAGGCTATCGTAGCGCCTGATTGGTAGGCAACATATCGCCAGCAGCGCATACGTGCATTGCTGGCTGGCCTACCCTGACTTTCGCAGGCGCCGAGCTCCTGCATTCTCACCGAACGAATCCGATAAAAGCAGACGTGTACTTTTTGGACGACACCTAAAGGGGCATCAGCGCCAACTCGGAGGCCCGTCCGAGCCGCTCACCAGTCCAGCACTTTGTTGGTGAGCTCCACGTCCATGGGCACGCGCGCGCCGCGCAGCGCCGTGTACACCTGCTTGCGCGTGAGGCGGCCCGAGTGCGCGGCGTCCAGGTGGCGCAGCGTCTCGAGCAGGCGCTCGAAGGCCGTGAACAGGTAGCGCTTGAGCTCCACGTGCGCCAGCCGCCGGATGGCCTCGCAGTCCAGGGGGGTCTCGGACTGCACGCGGAAGCGCCGCGCCACCGTCACCACCTCGTGCTCCGTGATCTGTAGCAGGGAGAGTGGATAAAATCGTCTCTGCCGTGCAAAAAACTCTTATTCTTCGAGACGGTTTGCGGTAAGACGAATCTTCACCGAACACTGAGGGAGGTTGGTCTAAGATGTTGACGTACCTGGGTCCCGAGCAGACCCGTGAGCGCGCGCCGCAGCACCTTGTAGGGCGCGCGCCCGGACCGCAGCGCCTCCACGCCGAGCTGCTCCGACACGAACTGCTTGTACACGGGCCGCACGCGCTCGCGGACCTTCTGCAGGATCTGGCGGATGTTGCTCTTGGGGAACTGGAAGCAGAAGGAGTGCGCTGTAGGTGGCCAGGGGTGCGGCAGGGGGGGAGGGTGAAGGGGGAGGGGTCCCCACCTCGCTGCAGTTAAGCTCCATGTAGCGCAGCGCGTACTCGTCGGCACCCGTCAGCAGGAACTTGAAGTCGCGCAGCTCGAGCAGCGCGCCGATGTAGCAGTCCTCCTTGGAGTAGCACGCGGGCGGCTCGCTGCCGAACAGGTTCTCGCCGGGCTTGACGAACTTGTCGCGCGAGAAGAACATGCCGCCCTGGAAGCCTGCGATGGCCTGGTCATGTCAGAGCTCGGCCCCAGCCCTCAGCGTGCCCGCCCAGGACTCGCCTCGCACTCACCAGAGTTGACGCGCACGTTCTCGAACACGGTGAGCGTGTCGTCGGCCAGGTAGAAGCTGATGATGAAGGGCCGCTTGCTGAGGTGCGGGATGTTGGAGATCATCTGGGCGCTGAAGCGCAGCACTCGGCTGTCCATGCCCTCGCGGTCCTTGCGCAGGAACTGCTTCAGGTCCTTGACGGGCGCCACCGGGTAGATGGTCCGGCAGTTGTACGACGAGTCCTCGTGCGAGCCGTAGCCGTTGTAGGGCGGCAGCTCCGGCCGCGGCACGGAGTCGAACACGACGTCGTCCTCGGGCGGGTAGGGCTTGGGGGTGAAGTCCTCTGCGGACAGCAAAGGTCGTCGGAGTCAGTTTGGCCTACCCCGCGCGCCTCCTGCCTGCAGTGCCTTACCACACGCAACCCCAACCAGAATAACGCACCCAGGCCGAAATTAGCGCGGTAGTGCTCCTTGGTGTACTCGTCGCAGTCGCAGAGCACGACGCAGCGCCCCATCACGTTGATGACGGCGCCGATGGCCAGGTCGCGCTGCGAGTAGAAGCTGGCGGGCCGCGCGCCACAGTTGAGGGCGTCGAAGATGTAGCGCTTGTTGCGGCTGCCTTGGCCCAGGACGTTGAGCACGGTGAACGCGTCGTGCTCGCCCGGCGTCGGCACGCTCTTGAACTCCTTGAGCAGGCGGCACCGCGCCAGCAGCGTTTTCCCCGTGCGCCCGGAGTTGACGGGCAGCACCTCCTTCACCTCCACCGTGTCGTCGGCCAGGTAGAAGAGCAGCACCAGCTTGTGCAGGATGCCGTCCTCCGACTCGCGATCGTCCCAGTAGCCGTAGAATCGCAGCACGCACCGGTCGTACTTGAGGAACTGAGTCTCGTCGAAGCTGATCTTCTTGGGCCGCTTGGGCTGCAAGGCCTCCTGCATCTGTAAGACGGAGCAGGGGGTGAGAGGGGACAGCGCTCACCACGCCACCCCCAGAAACATGAAGTGCCGAACATGGTTTTGCTAAAGTTTCCCGATTGTCGTCTCAACTACATTACATTGATGGACCCTGCCCAGAGATGGCAATGCGAAGGTGTCACAGCTACCCGCAGCTACCCAACCGGTTTAACTCTGACCCGCTGCTGGACCTGCCTTGAAGCGCCGCTCCATGTACGGGTCCTCGGGCATGGTGATGGGGTCCGGGACCATGATGCCCATGCGGTTGAGGAAGTTGCGCGTGAAGCGGTCGCAGTTGACGATCTTGAAGACGCGGCCGTACAGCTCCACCTCGTACCCGATGTTCAGGTCCACGATGTCGACGAAGGTCTCGGAGCGTGAGTCCGGCGGGAAGCGGATACGCTGCCGTGAGATGAACACCCCTGTGGTGGTCAGGTTGTGCGTCAGAAGGATTTGATCGGGACGACGGAGGCACGGATGACTCACGCTCGCTGCAAAGTGCCTCACCCTGGTGGATGCCCGAGTTGACCTTTCGCGGCTCCTGGACCTGGATCGTGCCGTCCTCCAGGTAGAAGTAGATCTTGACGTACCGCGGCAGGAACGGGCTGCCCTCCACCTCCTGGAGCGCCTCTTTGAAGTACGCGTCGAAGACCAGCGTCTGCGAAACGGTAGTCAGTTACGTGAAACATTAGGGACACTTTGAGAGGAGAACGAACACCCTGCATGCAGGGTGGTCCGGTCTCACGTCACCTCCTTGTCGAAGGCGAGCCAGGCGGGCAGGGCGGCCACGTCCCCGCGGCAGTAGATGGAGGGCCAGCGCGCGTGCGGGACGTGCGGCATGGGCGCGCCGCCGATGCCCGGCAGCCGCTTGTCCAGCAGCATGGACAGCTTGTGCACATTGCCGAAGTGCTGCGACTTGTGGAAGCGCGTCTGCCCGATCTGAAAACAAGCGCGAGAGTCAGAGAGAACGTAAGTGGTTCAAAGAAAATTAACATAACATACAATCGATAACGGTTGTAACGAAAATAAAAAGTTAACAAAATTATGTAGTGATGTAATGACACGGTTTTTATTAAATGGAAAGCAGATGGGGGGGGAGGGGTCACCGTGAAAACCGTAAAACGGTTGTCTAAATAAAAAACGCCAATAGCAGGCACGGGTTTTCGTTGAATTCTCTTTATTAATTTGTGAAGGGGCACAGACAGACTTGAGGTGGAGACTATAGGTAACCCCCATGACACTGGCTTCCTCTGCCCAGACTTGTTTACATCTTTGTTTACATCTTTGCTTTACTCCGTTTAGGGCCCAGCATCAGAGGACTTCCCCCGCGGAGGGCAGTTCGGCGTACCTTTCGGTCGAAGTCATTGCCGGGCAGCAGCGGCAGGGGCGGGTTGCGCATCATTTTCGCGGATCAGTCGGGGACACGATAGTTTCGAAAATTTTGAGTAAAAAGCAGACTCGGGCGGAGACACTGTGCGCGGCGCCGCCCCGCCCGAGCCTCGCAGCGGGCGTCGCCGTCGCCATGGCAACCGCAGGGCCGCCAACCTGGCGGTCCACCACACCATCTCATGACCACACCTGCCCAGCTCACGGTCCGGCGGCAGCAAAGCGGCGGCGGACCTCACTAGAGCAAAAATAGTTATGATAGGCATCGGAATTCGGAACGGATGCACTGACTTCGAATTCGCATTTTAATCACTTGCGGTTAGCGACAAATTTTCGGTCGGCAGTCATCGATGATGCGGCGCCGATGTCACCCTTTTCTCAGTCAGTCGCATGCCTGCCAGTTTTCTCACTCATGTCGCACAAGGGCGACAACATTATGAGGGCTCTGAGGACGCAGTGGTGGTCAGAGTGGTCGGGTGCGGCGGGCTGCCGCTAGGTGGCGCGGGCTGTGCCGCGGCGCCGCGGTCGGCGTTTGCGCGCGGGGTATGGCCAGACGTCGTCGTCGCGGGGTACCGTCGCGAGCCGAGTCGTGGTCGGGGTCGGGGTATCGCCGCGTCACGCCCGCGCCCCCCGCGGCCGCCAGTGCCGCACCGAGCCGCGGACCTCAAGACGCCACCGCCGCCGCGCCACCTGATCGGCAGCCCAGCGAGCCCAGCCCAGCCCCTCCTCGCCTCATTATCTTATCGCCATCGCAGCGTGAGCGGGCGTCTCACACACCAGGACAAAACGACGCGCCGCCCAGGGCTGGACAGCACGCCGCACCGCTGGACAGCACGCCGCACCGCCGGACTTATAGTGACCGCGACGCCGCTGGACAGCGCGCCCTGCTACGCTACGCCACGCCGCAGTGCGCGCACTCGCCGCGCGCCCACGCCGACGACGCCGCCGAGGCCGGCGCGGTTCGACGCGATTAGAAAGACGTGAGTCCTAAGTCAACGAACGGCGGCGTACTGCGGGCCGGCGGGCCGGGGTACAGTGGGTGGGTGGGGCGGGCGGGGTGGGTGGGGGTGTGTGGCGTGGTTGTGCCACGAGCGTGGTAGGGTGGGCCCTGTGCCGTCTCTAGGTCGCCTACGCGGCGTGAGACGTCATGCGCGCGCACACAACCGGCGCAAACGTTTCATTTTCCGCATAACCTCGGCTAAGAATGTAAACGTACAAACAGACGCCGCCAGGGACATGCGTGATAGCAGTTGAACTTGAGTGGGACGGGCGTACCTGAAAGAAGATACTAGATAGAAGGGACGGTTTTATAGTCGTACAAAGTAACGAGTGTTAGCTGACTTGACGTTTTGAAAACACTCGCTCTATGCCGACACAGGCGTCTGCCGAAGGATCCACCAAACCAATTTGCAATTGATTAATGGTCAGTCTGTGAGGTCAATGATTGTTTGTGGATAAGGTGCGTCGGGCGTCGCCTGTATTTGATTTTGGCTGAGCCCATGTGGTACTTTCTTCCGACCTACAAGCTAACCGCGCTGCAAATTGACTGCCTCTGGGTACGCGCAGCGCAGGGAATGAACTTTGAACTTTGACGAACTTCAATTGAACGCTGAACGTCGGTGAACTCCTGTGATCGATATCAATAAACGCTGGTGAACACCATTCATTCAATACTTTAAACTTGAATAAGTACACATATTGGCGGATTCCCCACGCAAATATATTTAGTGTAGACAAGCGAAAATACTCGCGAAATAAAACTGTCACGCGAGCTGTCGTCACGGCATACGGGCGCCTACACTCCTGCCTACTCCACATTACTCGCCTTTACTACAAGCATTCGCTACATACTCGCAGGGAACTGCTTGTCACTGTCCGAAGGAGTGGAGGACACCTCGCTTTTAAAGCATTATTTTTCCTGCCTCGCTGTCACTGCCACTATAAGTGTAGTTCGATGACGGCCATTACCAAGCACCGCGCCGTTTCAGTCGCGCCCGCGTCGCGTCGTTATGGTCCGAGAGGCTGTCTGGGTCGTAAAGGGCTGAAGGCTGCGTAATCTGCGCGGCGATAAGGGGTAGTGGTGTTTGAGAAGATGCACTTGTTACCAGCCGGTGTGTGACGTGACGTGTTTGCACCACTAGCTCAACTGCACGCCCGGCCCGTCTGGGTGCACCAGAGACTTGTCTGCTTTAGCAAGCGCACCGTACCCACTGCTACCCCTGGTCACGAATGTAAAGAAAACCTCAATAACAAGATCACGAGGGGTGGGCCACTTGGATATTCCATAGACTTAAACATATTCCAAAATATATTCTAGATCCGTGTACACAAAAAATCTGAGTAGTCGACACAGTAATAACAAGTTTCTTTTATTTCAAGAACCAGTCTTAGATCTTATGGAGAACGCTAACGGCATCCAAGACCGCAGGTCTTAAAATACAAGAAACCGAGGGGGCAATAACTCCGGGAATCATGTGTACACCTGCCTGGGAATCACGGGATAAAAATCAATCGAAATCAACAGAAATGGCTTGAAATAAGCGGGAAACTAGTGGAATTCGTAGAAATTAGTCGAAATAACGTAGAAATTAGTCGAAATAAGCGTTTGCTTTTACTAGAAAACCTACAGAATGATCGTAAGAGGACGGGAATCACTGGGAATCAAGGATTTCGGGAATCATGTGTACACATTTAAAGGGAGTTATTGCCCCCTCGCAAGAAACTATTTTCACCGTGGACCCCTCGCAAGACCAGGATCAGGGTGGTAATAATTTTACAGGGTTTGATAATAAAATATATAAAGGACAATTAGATGACGATTAAGGAATACCTCTTTCTTTTTCGGACCCCGCTTTCGGCTCATGGGGACATCAATGACCAACTTCCGTACATCAATACTTCTCCATAGGGATGTCAGATGTCAGCTGACATCTTGTGCACCCCCTGAAGCTGACCGATGGCCGCCTGTTGCAGATGGCGGTGCGACTGCTCCCACTGCTGCTGCTGCTACAGGGCGCGAGCCTGCTCCAGGCCCCGCCGGCCGTGCTGCAGCCCGCGCCCGCCCACCACGGCATGACGGGCGCTGACCCCCGCGCCGCAGCCGCGCCGGGCCCCCCGCGCCCGCAGGCCCAGCCGGCCGCAGCCAGGTGAGCCGGGGTGGTAGGCAGCCCGCCCGACACAAGGGACCGCCAATACAGCCTGAGGACAGAATGCATACTTTTCTGGGTGCGAAGCCATTCTTGAAAGATCACGTCTAACGATGCCAAGGACCATTACTATGCACTTTGTTGTGCATAGAAATGCAGCTGCAGCATTTTAAGCAGCCATATGTGGGTAAGCACAATTTTGATGCATACTTTATGTACAAACTGTACCTAACTAGGCATAAATTGTACATATAGTTATGCACGAAATTGTGCATAATCTTATGGCTGAATGCTTGTAATTCTGCATGTTTGTGTGGCAAAATGCATTAGGTTTCAGTGTGCGCAGGGAGAACTAAACTTCTGTTGCCCTGCCCCAACACCTAGCTAGTAATACAAATTGTCCTCTCGTTGGTGCGCACTTCCCTGACGGCCTGGTGTTGCAGCGACGGCGCTGCGGAGACCCCGGCGGCGAGGCGCGCGCTGCTGCGGGCCGCAGCCGGCGCCCCGCCCTTCTCCTACTCGATGTGGCTGCGGACCACGCACCCGCGCGTCATGGACGAGGAAGAGGGCGCTGCCGCGGGGCCGACGCCCGTGCGGCGCAGCAGCGTGCAGCAGCCGCTGGACCACCTGGACGCGGACAACGCCGCCCGGTGGACGCAAGCCTACTGGCGCAACGCCGAGCACTACAAGGAGGGCGGCCCCGCCTTCGTCATGCTGTCGGGCACGGCCGACTACGCGAGCGACTGGCTGCGGCGCGGACACATGGCGGACCTGGCGCGCGCCTTCGGCGCCGACAGCTACTTCCTCACCACGCGCTTCTTCGACCGCGTCGACCACCCGACGCCGTGAGTGTGGTGTACCCTTCAACGCCCAACACGGCGACTCGACGGGCATGCTTTGTTGGCTTTCGCTGCAACTAGGAGTTATCATCTTTAATGCAAGGTGGAGACAAGATGAAAGCAAAGACAGTGTGTCCTGTCCAGCTTGCACGGGATAGGGCATTTCAGCTCAGATATTTTATTTTTTGCTAATACCATGCTTTGCAATTGTCAAGCTTCGCAATAATTGCAAAGCTTTCTTCGTAGATTACAAAGAATCTAAATCCTCGAAAGGTCTGCGAAGTAAATTCTTTGTAGACTTTTAACACAGTAGGTCGCGGCCGCCGCTGCGAGATGTTGATTGTTGTTTATCTGTCACGTGGTCGGCCCGCAGGGACGTTTCGGTGGAGAGCCTGGCCTACCTCAGCGTGGAGCAGGTCCTGCAGGACGTGGCCTCATTCATCGAGCAGCTCGATCTGCACAACACGCACCGGCAGGTGGTGCTGTTCGGCGCGGGCTTCGGCGGGGCCGTCGCCACCTGGGCGAGGATGCGATTCCCGGACTTGGTGTCGGGCGTTGTGGCCTCCGGCGCCACCCTGGAGGCGCGCTACGACACGTTCTGTGAGTCTGGCCACTTTTAATTTCCCTTTGCCCCCCCCCCCCCAAGCACTTGTAACACTCAGTTCCTGCAGCCTACTTCCCCGTCGTGTCGGACACGATCGACTGGTACCACAGGAAGGACATGGACTGCCTCGGGTACGTCCGAAAGGCCTACCTCCAGCTGGACGCCGCCTTGTCTACGGCGGCCGGCCGCGCTTACTTCAACAAGTACTTCCAGTGAGTGTCCCAAGCCCCCAGCCCACGCGCGGCGGGCGTGACCCCAATCGTCGTGCTGGTCATGACCATCACGTTCTCCTGCCCCTACCAGGCCGTGCGAGCCCCTCGCGGTCAACCAGACCATGTCCGAGGAGGACCGAGCACAGGTGCTGGGGCTCGTGGCCGGCGTCTTGGCCGACCAGGTGCAGGACGACCAGGACGGGCCGCTCGCCAACGGTCGGCCGGGCAACGACAAGCTGTGGCCGTACTGCTTCGCGCTGTCCAGCGCCTCGGACGCACCCCTCGTGGAGCTGGCCAGGCTCGTGCTCTTTTCCGTGGACGGCCAATGCCTCGACGCGTCCTTCCAGGGGCTCGTGAGCGCGCTCTCCACCAGCGACTGGGTCAGCGAGGCCAACACGCGCGGGGGTAAGGAAGGGACTCGGCGGGGGCGTTGGTTTAGTTCGGTGCCATGCCAAATAGGTAGTGGATGTAGGCTCGACCGATCAGAAACGTATATGTTCTACCCGCCATTTTCTTCGCCTGTTAGCTGAACTACACTATTTTAATTTACGACACTAATGCTGATTAGTAAGTCCTGGAATTTCTTAACTATGATTGCAGTTCGGCCGTGGTTATGGTTGCAGTGCACGGAGTTAGGACAGCTTCCAACAACGAGCGGAGACCTTTTCAAGTTTCCGTATTCACCAAGTATAAGCATGAGTACTTTCTACAAAAAGCTATGCAATACTATTTTCGGTAGTGAGTACGTACTTTTATTTATTTTTACGTATTTCTATTTACTGTGACTGACATTTGAAGCATTTGAACACATTTAAGATGGCCAAAATTCGTACACTTTTTACAAGGTGGTCCATCAGGACAGTCACACTGCTGCACGGCATCATCTGGTTTTTCGTGCCGCATGAGTTTTGGTCATTATTTAGGGATTATTCTGGCATTAATTTGTCGTCAAACTGACCGCTTCTAAAGCAAATTAATGACAAAACAAACGCATAATAATATAACAAATCGTTTTTTGCGCGAATTTATTTTGTCATTAGTTTTGGTCACATTATCAATGACAAACGTATGCGAAAAATATTCTTTAACAAGGCCATACGGGTGCTTGCAACACTTGCAAAATATTGCCATTGTTTTAACAGTGTGTGAATTGCCGGCGTGAGGCATTTTTCTGGCAAGCAGGAAAACAAAAAGCAGACCAGAACATCACAAGCCTTCTTGTGGTTGTTTATCTGAGTTAATAGTCAAATTATGTCTGCAAAAACAATTTTTAAAAGCAGACGATTTCCTGGAAACGAGAGAATGCTTTCGGTGCCCGGGTAGTGTTTTCGTTCGGCGGATACAGGGCCGATAATTTTTAGTCCAACTCTACCTCGAACAACATTGGGCGGGCTAAAATTTTAGGCCATACCGCCCAATCGAAAACACCAACACTGGTATGTCCTTCTCGTCGTTTTATTTCGCAGAAAAGATGCCCTCCACCGTTAGAACAAAGGGAATTTGGCGCACTGCGGGTAGCAGTAGCACTCAATCTTATACCACACACTCCTCGCCCCCGTTGCGGTGCGGTGGAACAACCTTTCCGAGAAGGCGTAGGCGGGCGTAGTCCCGCATATGATCCCGTTGGCGCGTTTCTCTAGCGAGTCTGCGAGGCCATTACGAGGAATTTGCGGCACCATCCGCTATCTCCAAAAACACATAAACCCGCTAGAGTTGAGGACTCGAACCTTGAACCACTTTTCCCTCTTCACACTGTTAGTTTTCGTCTTTTCGCAGCGTCAGCAGTCAGCTCATAGACAACATATCTCAAATCAACACGGTTTACGGCGGAAAGGCGCCCAAGATCTCGAACGCCATTTTCGTGAGAGGTGACCTGGACCCGTGGAAGCACCTGTCGCCCGAGGAGGGCCTGCCTGGGGAGGAGGTCCACGTGTTCTCGGTGCTCCGTGCGTGTCCCTGTGCTCACCTGTCCCCCACTCGACGACACGCCTCTCTCTGACCTGCTCTCTGAACTTGCAGGAGCGTCGCACGCGCACGACATGTTCCCCCGCGATGACTACGACCCGCCGTGGATGAAGAGGACCAGGAAGGCCGTCGCCAACGTGCTGGCTCGTTGGCTCTCGTCTTCTTGAACCGAAAGCAGCCCGAAGAGGCAAAGCTAACGAGCCAGCAAAACATGCGTTGTTCTGGTCGCAGTAGTAGGAAAGACTAATAAAAGCACCTTCGCACCATATTTTACTTTATTTTCTGATCCTTTCTATGGAAGATACCTGTGGCCCATTCTAGTTAACATCTAGACGATGGGTCACGGCACACTGCCAGTAGCGTCCATCGTATCTGGAGACGGTGGTGACAGCAGGGGAGACTGCTACCTACCTTTACGGCCAATTTTGGGGGCGCAACATTAGGGTTGCCGACTTTTAGGGGCTCATTTTCTTATGTGATTAAACGCTAACTTATTCCCTATTTCCCTTGATTGAAGGTATGGCTAGATTGAAGGACCTACGAAATTTACAAAATTTGCAAAATGTATTACTGACTTCGGATGTCATCGCTAGATTTTAGTGCCACTGCCTCTTCTTCTATTTAGCACCTGGCACCAAAGCCGGTGCACTAGACGCCTTTTGCCCCTGGAACTAAACAATTTACACGCAAAAAAATAAAATCCAGTTCCGTGCAAATCGGTTGCACAATTTTACACCCGTGCAAAAAAATTAGCTGGATGTAAAAATATTTAGCTGTACAGCTAAGTGTCATTAGCTACACGGTTATTAAACGGTACGTTTTACTGGATGGCTAAAAAATTGGCCGTGGTGTTAAACAATAAGTTTTAGTGCCTGGCACCGAAAATTTTTCTCAGTGCACAACGTGTGGAGATGATATTAACTTAGAGCAATTTCAGGACGTTCAAGACTAAGGAAAATAAAAATTAATAAATATTGAAAGCCAAAAAACAAACAAGGAACAAAGCTGCTGCATGTTTTTTTATGGGGGGGGGGGGCAAAATATTATTAAAACTACTCTTTAAATCTGGGGTGTCCAGCAGCTGTGCGACTATGCGACGCTTTTGCAGGACACCTTGGGTTTTGTTTGTTTATTCATTTTCTCAAATCTCGAGTACTTGAATGACCAAGTTTGTAGGAAACCTCTGCTCTCTGAAGTTCAAGGAGCACAAACGAGTGCCCGATCATCCCCGTCCGACAAACACAAACCGAGCACTGGCGACACAAGGGGGTCCAGGGGGGG